TCCCCCCCCCCCCCCCCCCCTCCTCCAGCAGAAGCCCTGGAGCTCAGCTCATCCTGTTCCCCCTCCCAAAAGTGACTCTGGAGTCAGCTCATCCTGATCCCACTCCTAGCAGAGACTCTGAAGAACTACAAATCCCTCTGCCACGGTAGCAGATGAGACTTGTAGTCTTTCCATTCACAGACCCGGTGAATGGACGAGGGGGTTGTGTGGGCGGAGCCACACCAATTTTAAAAATGCTGGAGCCTGCCGGGAGAAGAACCCCATGGTTCAGGTAAGTGCGCGTGGGGAGGGATTGTTTAGGGGATGTGACCATGTTTCATGTTCTATCCGGAGGATGGGAGTAACATTATACATGGTGAGAAAGTGGAGTTATCCTTTAAAGGCATAGTCCACTTTTTAGACCATATTTAAGGGGTAACACGAAACATGTGTGCATATATGCCAGACCCCACAACCCCCCAGCACACAGGAATGGGGTGCTTCTTGCTCTCGGTAGTGGTCGTGTTTTAAATTCAGAGCGGCTGTGTGACTCCGCCCACAGTGACATCATCCAATCTGCCATCACTGCAGTCCATTCATTACCTCCTTCATACCCATAACAAAAGCTCCAGACCTCCATGCTGACCTAGGGCTGGGGGGGTAAACAGTGTACAAGCCTGGCCATTGCAGCTGCGATGCACCGATCAAGGTTGGAATGCTCTGCAGACCAAAATGTAAATTTTTTTTTTTTTTAAAGGTCTATACCTTTAAATATCATTATAAGGGTTAAAAAAACAAAACGTACCCTTGCAGTGGGGCCACCCAGGCACTGCGAGTGTTAAGAGCTTATTTTGTCTAGGGGGGAGGTGCAAATAAAGCAGATTTACCTGGTCCCTGGGGCAGTCACTGCTCCCCAGTCTCCCCTTCCACTCTGGGGATAGACCACCAGAGCCCAGGGAAGAAGAGGCTGCGGGGACTGGTCTAGCAGCCTATGATTGGTCTAGCGTAGGGGTGGGCAACTCCGGCCCTCCAAGTCAACATGAGGCATTGCAAGACTGGCAGCCACAGACATGACTCCCAGAGGCAAAGGCATGTTGGGATTTGTAGTTGAAGCACAGCCGGAGGGCCAAAGCTGCCCACCCATGGTCTATCAGGGCCGAGGGTCAGGTAAGTAAATCGGCTTTATTTGAGCCAGAGGCGTAGCTAGCGCCTTTTGCGCCCGATGCAAGAACAAAAAATCCCCCCCAGACATGTGACGTCATGTGCCCCGTCTCCAGCATGTGGGGTTCTTTTTTGTTACTTGTATTTATCCTGGGTGAGCGGCTTTCTCTCTCCTCACCGCTCGGCCATCCTGGAGGACAGCTCCCTCCTTCCCCCCGGCTTCTGCACTCCATTTCTCCTCTGATCCCCGCTGTCCATACAGGCGTGAGAGAGCAGCAGGGATCCGAGGAGAAACTGCAGGCTGTAACACTCCTCTACTCCCTGCTGCCCATGTTGCCCTGTGCTCGCCATGGCAACAGGGGTGAGTGGGAACAGCCAGGCCAGCCCTGGCTGCGCCCCCACAGCTGCGCCCGAGGCGACTGCCTTGTCCTTCTTCGGCCCTGATTTGAGCCCCCTGGACAAGACAGGCAAGGGTATGAGTTTTTTTAATTTCCCCCGAGGCTCTTTAATTGCCAACCCCCCCCCAGCAGCCCATTAAACACCAGAGGCCGATACGATCCGGTTTATTACCTTTTATTTATTTTTTGTCTTTTTGTTTTATTATTTAAAACCATACACGTCAAGAAGTGGACTCTAAGGGTCTCATTCACAAGACCGCGGCACCCTTTCACTGCACAGTAAACTGTCATTCTTCCTTTAATAAAAAAGAAAAAACAAAACAAAAAAAACAAGACAGACGTCACCAAGCGCTGTGAATGAGGCTCTAAAACTGAAAAGGTCTGACTAAGTGGGCCAGCAGGTGACAAGGGGATGCTGGGGGGGGTTGGAAAGA